GGGCCAGACGGTTTTCACGCCATCTTCTACCAGCATGGTTGGAGGCAGGTGGGTAGAGCTTTGATTGACATGGCCATAAACTTTTTATCCACAGGCACGCTTCCCTCAAGGGTGATGGACTCCACTGTCGTTCTTATCCCAAAAGTTGATCACCCTGAGGTAGTGACTCAGCTTCGGCCAATATCTCTGAATAATGTGTGTGTCAAAGCGATCACGAAGGCGATCACCAATCGGCTGAAGCCTATTATGAGGAAACTGGTCTCACCTCGTCAGAGCAGCTTTATTCCGGGCAGGCAGACCACAGACAACATTATCGTGCTCCAGGAGGTGCTGCACTCTCTTAGGAAGAAGAAGGGTAAAAAGGGGGAGTGGTGATCAAGATTGATCTGGAGAAAGCCTATGACAGACTTTGGTGGGACTTCCTCAGAGACACTCTCATCGAAGTAGGCCTGCCTAGCTCCTGGGTTAACTGCATCATGTTCTGCGTGGAGAAGAATAACATGCAACTACTTTGGAATGGAGAGCTTTCTCCACCGATTGTCCCTTCTCGCGGAGTCGGACAGGGAGATCCTCTCTCTCCTTACCTTTTTGTACTGTCCATGGAACGCTTATCTCACATGATCGATCAGGCCGTTCGAGACAACCTCTGGAAACCCATCCGACTTTCCCCGAACGGCCCGGCTCTCACCCATCTATTTTTGCCGATGATTTAGTTTTGTTTGCAGGTGCGGAGAGCTCGCAGATCAGAATCATTAAAGAATGCCTAGATGACTTCTGCCATTGCTCGGGACAGAGAGTTAACTTTGCCAAGTCAGCCATGTTTGTTTCTGCAAATATCCTCCGCCGTCAAGCTAGGATGCTCAGCAGGAAGGCTGCTATCCCTCTAACGGTGGACCTAGGGAGGTATTTGGGTGTTAGAGCAATCAACGGTCGGGTGACGAGGGCTCGCTACCAGGATTTGCTGCTTCGGATCCAGAGTAAACTAGCCCCATGGAAAGCAAAGAGACTATCACTGGCAGCTCGCATCACGGTTGTTAAGTCCATATCCTCTTCTATTCCTATCTACCCTATGCAAACCGAACTCCTTCCAGTTAATGTTTGCAACAGGTTGGATCGGATAAATAGAGATTTCATATGGGGAGATACTGATGAGAGAAGGAAGATGCACCTGGTGGGATGGAACAAGCTTCTGGATCCGAAAAGCAATGGAGGGCTGGGGATTAGGCCATCCAGGCAGGTCAATGTTACGATGCTAGCGAAAGGTGGTTGGCGCCTAATTCAGGAAAAAGATAGCCTCTGGTGTCAAGTGATGCGGGGCAAATATCGGAAGCAAAGAGATCATTTGGACATACTGCGACCAGTTCAGGGAAGTTCCTTCACCTGGGCTAGTATGGCCAAAGCTTCCGACTTACTCCGTAAAGGAGCTGATTGGAATATTCATCGAGGGAATCGTGTTCACTTTTGGTCTGATATTTGGATTCTGCAGGTTCCGCTAATGGAGGTGGCAATTGGAGATATCCCCCAGGAAGACCGGGACGCGATGGTGGCTGATTATGTGGACGAGGAAGGGAGATGGCTCACCCACAAATTTAGCAACCTGCTGCCGCAGGAGATTCAGGAACGAATTACAGCGTATGCTGTCGACCCGCTGGCAGCCGAGGAAGACTCTTTATTCTAGAGACCCTCAGCCAATGGCCACTTTTCCTGCAAAACGGCGTTTCAGCTCACTAGACCAGCACCTTCTGCAGAAGATCAGCAGTTTTGGAAGAAGTTGTGGAATCTCCAAACCCCGGAGCGAGTGCGGTGTTTTGCGTGGCTGGTGGCTTTGGGCAAGATTTCCACCAATGAACTGCGGCACACCAGGAAGATCGCACAATCAGCAGCTTGCTTTAGATGTTCGAGCCAGGTGGAGACAATACTTCATGTGCTTAGAGATTGCCCGCCTGCAGCCTTTTTTTGGGCGAGAACGGTACCAGTTGCAGATCAACACCTCTTTTTCAGTTTGCCGGAGAAAGATTGGCTGAAGGCAAACATCATGAAAGAGGAACTATCCTCCTCAGGTACCCCGTGGAATGCCCTTTTCAGCATCTCTATCTGGCTTCTGTGGAAGAACAGGAATGAAGGAGCGTTTCACGGGATCAACAAAACCCTTTCTCCGAGTTCGCTCACCCAGGCTATCAATGTCAAAGCCAAACTTTGGTATGATGCTTGGGTGGCGCCGAGGGTGGACATGAGAAGAGGAACTCCTCCTGTGCATCGCGAGCAAGCGGAAGTTGGATGGAAACCTCCCCCTCAAGGTTGGATGAAGCTAAATGTTTATGGTGCTTCTAATGGCAACCCGGGGCTGGCAGGAGCGGGCGGTATCATTCGAGATCAGGATGGAAGGTGGGTGGCTGGTTTTTGTGCGAATCTTGGAGCGTGTACAGCAGCTATGTCGGAACTTTGGGCGCTGTTCCATGGACTGTCTTTGGCGTGGAAAGGAGGCTGTAGAGCACTCCAAGTGGAATCAGATTCAAAGTTGGCTCTGGAGCTAGTGGAAAAACGTACAGATCCCGTTCACCCCTATGCGACCCTTTTGGCTGCGATTCGGAGGTTGTTGGCTCGTGACTGGGTGGTGCGACTTTCCCATACATATCGGGAAGGGAATAGAGTCGCGGACGGGCTCTCGAAGCATAGTCTTGTCTATCCCTACGGTATGTATGAATTGTCAAATCCTCCCAACGAGCTGTATAGTCTCCTTAATGATGATGATAGAGGCTTCACCTTCACCCGCAATGTGGTGGTTACGCCCTCCCCTCCCTCTCTGTAATCCCTTTCCTTCCCCCTTGTAATTCTGCTTCTTTGGCTTTTTGCCTCTCCTGATGCAAAAAAAAAAAAAAATTTAAACTACTTGTCATATATTTAATACTCATATTTGAAGTACTCACCAATTCATAAATTTCTTCTTTTTTTGAATTATCAATAATTGTAACTCACATGCATATATCTATTCATGAAATAATATAAAGAAGAAAGACCACCAAACACTATTTGTGAAGCGATCAACATTTTGTAAAGGTTGAAAATTTTAAGGGTAAATTAAAATTAGTAAATCACTGTGTATAGACACTAAAAGTTACGCTTGCAGTTCCTCGACAAATTTAGATAACGACGACCTTGCACCATCGTACGTGTAGTTTCTTGTTGGTTTATTCTGTTTTTGGGTTTGGGCTGGCAAATGGAAGTAAGGAACTGCAAAAGCAAAAAAAAAAAAGTAGTACATGCAATTGACAACTTGGAATCATTTATAAGAAATCGTTTGGTATTTATGGCAGAGACCATGCATGTTCTCTATCAGAGTTTGTTTCACGTCAATACAAATCTTATCATAAAAGTATACATGCGTCTATAATAAGAACCACTACATTCTAGGGCAGGGACGGAGCCAGCCCATAGGCAAGAGGGGTCATGGCCCCCCTAAAATTTTAAAACTTTTGTAAGTTGCACATACACAGTCTTGATTATAGTCTAAGTGGTAATTATGCTAACTTGAGTTCGTTTGAGAGTTTGATGTCAACAGTTTGAACCACACTGCTCTTTGTTTTGAATGCATTGTTTATGCCTATTCTTCATTTATAAGTTCTCTAAATTGCAAATTGTTATAGACGGTGGGAGGTTAGTTCAACCCACACGGCTACTTTTTTTTTTGAACGGCTTGTTAATAACTAATCTTGCTTCATTAATTGTTTGCTTGACATATATATAAGCTTAATTTTATTGATACATCCAAAATGTCATCACTTTATGAAAAAATTCAATTCATCATTACATTTTATTTTGTTAAATTAACTACATTTTCGTAACAAGAAACAAAATACTCTAATTGATAAATATATTAGTGACTTGCATTCTAGATATTAAAAAGGTATATGTTATATCTATAGTATATATATTATTATTTATAGTTTAAATAAATATTCATTGAAACAAATCCCTAAAACAATATACCGTAAATTTGTTATTTTTAATATTTTTCAAGAATATGCGTATTCATTTTTTTATTATGTTATCGTGAAAAAAAATTTCGACCCCCTAATTTGAATCATGGCTCTGTCCCTCTTCTAGGGTGTCAGGTTCCTCATCCACCCCAATAAATGATTTGTTCATAAGAATTCGGTTACAGGTGCTTAAATCATATGTAGAAAGATTCATACAATATGTTATAGTTGTTGGATGCTTGTTGATTGTTGATAAATATCTTATTTATAAAGTTAGCACCGTATTTATCTCACGATGACAAAACACTCATCGCAATCCAATCCATTGACAATGAACGATGTAAGGATATCGATCCTTTTTAGATTGTGTTGTAAGCACCATAGCGACTTGCACTACTATTGCTATCACCTATGAATCAGTTATGTAAAATGTGTTATGTTGTATATATACTAGACTAGTGATCATGCCACAAGAAGATTCAAGATTTACTAGATAAAAGTATGCGGGACAGGATCGTCCAATCATCTTGGGAGGCCCTGTTCCAGCAATAATATGTGGTCCACATTTTTTATCTAAGAATGTGAAGTTTTTTTTTAACTATCTTCGAAGATTTCTTATAAAATATACATGTTTGTGTTATAGGAGGTAGTTTGACTCATTCGAAGTTGAATGACTAAAATACCATTATTCGTTCCAAAAGTATCATTAAGAACATAAATTTTTATATAACGGGAGTTAAATGGACACTTGAAGATTAAAAAATAAATTTTGAAAATATTGAATGGTCTCATTGATATTTTAACCAGGGTAAATTAAATAACCGAGTTCATGTAGGTTAAATGGACACACTTTAAGTTTAATAAAATGAGTGAAATATTAGATTGTTAAAGTCGAAATTTACTAAATTAAATTAAATAAATCGATATGAAAATATTTGAAAAAAATAAAAAAAAGATGCAATAACTAAGATTAGAATATATGACCAAGTATGCATTATCCAACATTCTTACCAAATAGAAGAAAAACATTAATGTTCTTTATTTTCGCTGCACCTTATATGGATGAAGGGTTTGAGAACCTGAAGCCACTAAACTCTCACATGATTTCATCCTAAAATTGGAGTCATATGTTGTAAGATCGACAACCACATGCTAATGGCAGGCGCTGACACTAGCAGCCGACTAATAGTGGGGAATTAGAGGGATCCTTCATAAGCACTGGGCTCTTTGACCATCTCCAATTACAACTAAAAAATCTCCAAAGTTTCAAAGTAACCCCTCAAACAATAACGACTAGAAATGTCGGCGATGATGGTTTTAACCTTCAGGTCAGGCTGCTCCTCAATTAGATGTTTGATAGCAGCGAAAACCACCCTTGATTTCAACTTTCGATGGCCTTGGGATGTTATTGATGACACACATGTGTGTGTGTTCACCGCAAGGGATATGACCCAATGGCCGACTCTCTTGCTCTTGATGGCCCGGCTCCTAGCCTTGCATCCCTCATTTTGATTTTTGCATCTAACCATCAGCCTCTTCATGTCATAATGGGTTGTGTGTCATTCAAAACTCTGAGTCATTGCTTCAGTGGAAATAGTGTGCCAAACCACATTCTTCGTTGCAAATTGTTGGCCCTTCGTAAAGCCAGTGAGTGGACCACATACTGGCACCTCTGGCGGGTCCATGTCGGCATTAACATACCAATCTTCATTTGGAACGTGATTGTAGTATGGGATAGGTACACGGTCACGAGGTACCTCATCACCGTCTGCATCTGAATCTGGACCGGAATCATCAGCACCTTCAAGAGGATCGAAGCTGTCTGCACTGACATCGGCTTCCTCTTCTTCAACCTCAGGGTCACTAACTGGACTTGGATTGACCTCTTATTCCATCTGATGATCATCATGAAAGGCGCATTCACCAGCTCCGTAATGGTATTTGTGGACTTGTGGTAACTAACGCCGCTTTGGTAGAAGTTGTACTCGGGTTGGTACTGGTAGCCTGCTTGTTGGTTCCCATCCTCCTGTTGAGCTTCTTCTTTATATGATGGGAAGGATTGATGATGACCTCCAGTTCCATCATAATACTTCTGCCTCCAGCTCGAGTCTTGGTACTCCTGGTGGGGATGATATTCGTATAATACACTCCCACCGTGGATACCATATGTTTGGCCATCTCCAGAATGACCTACACTGCCTTTGACCGCCTCGATGTAAACGAACATCTCCGCTTGTTTAATGTTATTGGTGGTAAAAAATTGGACCATGGCATCAACGTCCTCCTGAGTGGTAATGAGGAATTCCTCATTCCACAATGACTCGTCATATCTGTTTGGATATCGATATACCATACGATCAACTCTTCTAGTGCCATCCATGCAGGTAACCTCAGTGCATTTTTGATGGAGCTCTTCAAGCATCGGTCTCGTACGGACCTTCATTTTATAAAAATTGCCACCCACGTAACTTACACCCTTTCCGGTCTCTTCCGTGTAACCATTCCACCACAACCCAAGCGTGAACTTTTGGAATGCCATCTGCTATAAAACTGTAATTAAGTTACTAACATAAAAATCACAAATGACAATGAAAAGTAATACAAAACAAACTTATGAATTAAAGTTAATTGCAAAAACTAAATAATTTAAAGGTGCACAACTGAAATTTGAAGAAGAAGGAGTGGAGTGAAGATTTTGAGTTTTCTGGACCTGCCTTTTATAGGCAAATTTTACACTGGAAACCGAGGGGGGGAGCGGTTTTAGTCTGGCATGCAGCCCCCACCCCTGCAACCTCCTGCATGCCGACATGTCGGATGTCGGATAACGAGGCACAAATCGCTAGGGGGGCGGTTTATGTGGCGACATGGTAAACCGCTTCCTTGTGGAGCGTTTTACCTTGCCGACACATAACCGCTCCTAGAGGACGCGGTTTGTGCTAGGGCAGCCATGAAAACTGCTCCTTCGTGGAGCTTTTTTCTCAAAAAAGACAAACCGCCTGTCTAGCAAGCGGTTCCATGGTAAACTGCCCCTGTGTGGAGCGATTTTTAATAAACAGTGGTAGATTTGGAATTTCTTCGAAATGGGTGGTACTTTTGTAAATTTTTTTAAATAGTAGTGGTTTTGGATTTTTTCCAAATTTGGGGGCCAAATTTGTCCCATATGAGACAAAAGATGCTAGACTGCCCAGCCCCAGCAGCAACCCATGGCTACGACGTACCAAATGGGTATTGCGTTGCACGCGCATCATGGAATCAATTTGCCCAGAGGATGTAGTACTCTCTATCCACCTACGTGTGCGGCTAACATACATGTGTTGTCCAATCCACCTCCTTGCTAATTAATTATGCAAATTTTGGTCTTCTTATTAGAGATGGTCTTTTGGGCTTCAAGACTTACCTCAAAGGGGCCTTGATCTAGAGAGGTTTTATCACATAGTACCAGTTAGGGCTCTAGTCTCAACCTACAAGTTGGTGGTGTGGTAGTAATTCGTGTTACATATCCTAGCGTACATATTTTCTTTGGTGAAACTACAAGCTAGGTCAGAGTTGAATTGTGTCTTTTCCCGTTATTAGTACGGTAGGTGCAGGTCCATCATAATACTCTTTGCACTTTTTTACCTATGCTGTGATTTTTTTCTTTCTCCTCAGGTCATTTCCTCCCTTTCCCGCCTCTTCTCGAATCTTCATGTGACATTTAATCAGCAACAATGTAGTCAAAGTCTATTTTAGATGTAAAAGTGAAATGATGGGTAAAAGTGGAAGAGCGTGCCACCTCTAGGTAGGGATGGTAATAAAACCCGAACCCACGGGTACCCATCTGACCCAACTGGGTCAACGGGGGTAAAATCCGTGTTGACGGGTTTTGGGCCGGGTTTGGGTTTGGGTTTAAAGTTTAAACCCGTTCACTATTCGCTGGGTTGGGTTGGGTTTAGATTTAGGTAAACCCGACCCATGGGCACCCACCCACACCCATACAATTAATTTTCTCGGCATATTTAATATTCTAAACAACTAATCTTATTTATGTTTGTGGTGACATGTCTAATTTTTTCTTTCTAGTTGTGTAGAATGAATTTGATGTTATCGAGTGGAGATTGAAAAACTTAATTGAAAGGAAGAAGCTTTCAATTAATCATGTTATTTATGGATAATTTGTGATGTGCTTCAATTTTCTTGAGTTTTCTTGATTGGTGTTGAACTATTTGTATAGTTAATTTGTGATTTGCTTGAATTTTCTAGAATGGTGTTTTATATATGGATAATTTGTATTGAGAAATTGATATTTTACGTTAATTTTGATAGGAACTTGTTATATGTTTTGCGACTGAATTAGTTTCTCTCGGGGCATTCTCGGTGAATCAATGTACATCAAGGGCATCAAATCTAAGCCATTGTGAGTATTCTATTTATTCATCCATTCGTTTCCTACCTGTTTTCTAAACAAATAATAGTTGACATTAGGATGAGAGTGTTGTTTTTTTTAATTTGAATTTTTTTTATTGGTTGCATACTTTTGAATTTTGATCAGTGGTATCAACTAGGGGTTGGTGTGGTTACCCGCCCCCATTTTGCGGGTACCCACACCCACAAATTTACAATTATGCTACCCACAATCCGCACCGCAGTGGTTAGTGGGTAATCACTACCCACTGTGGGTTTGTGCGGGTTGGGTGTGGTTACCCACAAAAATCCATCTTTGCAAGCATAGAGTTCTAGTCGCCAGTAATGTATTTGTTGTTCGTAACTAGACTATAGTGATATACATTTGTGTTGTTCGTGGAGATACAATTTTGTACATATATCTTACTCAACGTTAAGATTTTTTCTTTTTGAGTTTGATATTCAACTTTTGTGTCAGAGAGCTGTGATTTCATATTTCCTCGACCATGGGTGAAATATGACAATTAAATATGATCTTGTATTTTTTTAACACAAAAGCAAAAACATACTGATAAAAGTTACAAAATGTGTTCACTTTTAATGAATTTATTATTCTCCACTCTATCGATTATAGTGTTTTATAAACTAAAAAATTCTTGCTTAAAACTGATTAGGTGTGTCTTTTTTATTTGGTGGCTACTTTAACTTTTATCCTCACACTTTTAACAAACTATTATATTATAAAGTTAATTCACTAAATAAATATAATTAGTGTGGTTATTGTGGATTTTGTGGGTTAAATGCGGTGGGTATTAGATAGCCACTAACCACAAAAATTGTTATTTTACTACCCACACCCAACCCACTACCCACAACTTGTGGGTATGGTTACCCCCAATAGGTGCGGGTTGGTGCGGTTTGCGGATTATCCACAACCCGCAACCCAAACTTCCACCCCTAGTATCAACTGTACCCATGGCATTGCCAGAACAACATAAGGTAGAGTGACCCAAAAACGTATCTCGTGGATTTGTTAAAAGAGGTAGCTCCATTCTATATTTTTCACTCTCTTATGGTTCTTATTTCTTTCTACCGAATTGCTATTATGCATACTCCTCTTATTGCTAGGGAGTTGACAGTTGAGCATTAAGATAAATGAGCAAACGACCTTTGTTGTTGCAGAAGTTATGTAGATGGAGATCCAGCTTCACGTGCTTTCCTTCTAGACAGAGTTAACACTCCAAACCCAATGGAGATTAACATATTGAACCGTTTTTATTTTTTTATACACTACTCAGCATTCAGATTTATTAGTATAGGGATTGATTTGATGGCTTGATGATCACACCATCACATTTCAGAAGTACCGTGTGGTTACAACTTAGACTGCTTGCATTTATTTTGTTTATCATTTAACATGTGCTGCGTACATGGGTCATGCTCATGGATCATGATTATTCAAAGTTGTGAATTAGGTACTCTGGGAGGGTAAAGAGTCTTATACCAAATTGTATTACCATTATAATGCTCTATTATTTCTATTTCTGCTTGAGGAGCTCGAGCTCCATCGAGATACGGTTAGTTTTTCTTCTTATAGAGATAAGCTTTCGTGGCAATTAGATTAATAATTATAGCATCTTAAATAACAGTATTGTAGAAATATGTTTTAAGTGGGATGAGAATAACAATCTGCGAGCTTCTTGATAGAGATTGGGAGGTAAAGATCAAGTTTGTCAAACCGGATTAAGTCCTATAACCGATTTAACAAGGGGTTTGAGGTTTAATGGTCGAATCGGGGTTCAACCGGATTAAGCCGGCTGACTTGATACATTACTCGATTCTATCTATCAACCTGTAAAACAAGTAAATAATTAACAAAATAACAAAGTATCATCAATTCCATCAACCAAATTAACCTGCTGCATTCCTTACTAACTCCTAATTAACAAACAAACGTCAATGCTCTTTCTTTCTTTCTCCCCCACTCTCTCTATCTAACAACAACCAATGCTCGATTTCATTGTGGAAACTGAAAATGGAAACAGAACCAAGATGTGCTTTTCCAATTCTGAAACTACACAATAGAAACCTAATTAAGCACCCACCTGAAACGATCTAAGCTAGTATTGAGGCAGGGGCGGGACTGCTGTCGAGGCGGCGGGGAGTTGGGTCGATGCGTCGGACGGAGAGCGGCGGCGAGGAGTTGGGGACCTGGGTTGAGACGAGGGGGCGAATGAGCAGCGGTGAGACGTGCGGCAGGGAGTTGGGTCGAAACGAGGGAGCGGCGGCGGCTGCGCTGGTTGTGGCCGCGGGCGAGGGCTCTGCTGGCTGCTGCTCGGCAGAGGAAGAAAAGGAAGGGATGCGATAGTTTTGCTAGGCCTAGGGTTCAGGATTCAATTCAGATTTCAGAAGAAGCTCTAGAACAAGCCAAACGACGTCACTTCCTCATGGCCGGTAGCCGGATAAGTCCGGTCAGACTCCGGTTTTGACCGATTTTAACCGGTCTTGACCGGCTACCGGCTAATTCAAATTATGGCTGGCACTGGCCCTTTTAGTGCCCGGTTCCGGCCAGACCCGGTTTGATCGGCCGGTTCGACCCCGGTTTGACAACCTTGGTAAAGATTGTTCATGTTTTCCGAGAAAGCGATGTTGTTTCGGATTATTTGGCCTCTCTCGGCCATAACTACCATATAGGAGTTCATTTCATTAATCCCCCATATCAGTACTGAATTATTGGTTGTATTACGATATTATTGGGGTTCAAAGTTCAAACCCCCCGCTTGGTGAATAAATAAAGGCTAGGGGCTAGGGCGCCCTCTTTCGCTCTGTTTCTTACCCAAAAGAATTTATTGAAGACGGAAAAAGAAAAAAAAATATAAATGTGAATAAAGTTGGAATAATGGCATATGTAAGTATATATAAAGTTGGAATAATGACATACGTTGATTCACATATTTAATAGGGTTAATACCTTAGTTTGACCCGAACTATACACAAACTTTCTACTTCGGCCCGTGGTTTTCGAAATTGCTCTTCTGGCCCAAACTATGTACCATACTTCCTAACTTGACCCGAAGCTGAATTTGACCGTCAAATTGGACGGTCAACTTCATTGACCGTTATTCAATGGCCAGCTCACTTGCCACGTTAGCAAATACGAAATAATTTTTTTTTATTTTCTGTATTCATTTTCCTTTCTCATAATAATAATAATAATAATAATAATAATAAAAGAAAATAATTAAAAACAACAATTTTTCAAGATCTGGGAATATAGAATGCTCTTCTTCCTTCGTCCCACACCATGAAA